TTCATGAATGGGCCTAGACATCTTTGAAGTGAGGAAAAAATTAGAGAATTTATTCTTAACAGTGGATGAGTCCGGATCTTATTTCTTATTCTTGATAAATATTATTTTTTTAATATAATTATTTAACTAAAAAAATTATGAATCAAGAGTAAAAGATAAAAATTCTGATCCATACACTTTTTAAAGATTATTTAATAGACCTGAGATGAATTAAAATTAATAGGCTAATAGTTTATATAAGTTAATAAATAGGCCGCTAAATTACTGTTTTCGTCCATAACTTGTCTGGTTATGAACCATAATTTGACAAGTTATTGTCCATACATCACGGTTTTTGTCCATAACTTGTCTGACTATGAACCATAACTTGACAAGTTTATCCATAACTTATCTGGTTATAAATCATAACTTGACAAGTTATGATCTATTAATTTTTATAACTAAAAATTGACCAATACACTTTTTTAAACTTTTCATATTGACATATTTTATACTATTTCTGTTATTTATCAAGATTACCCGTGAGCGAGTGCAGAGGCTTTTTAATGGGCCTGGATATAGTTGAGTTTGAGTGAGCCTAGAGGCTTTTCCTTTCTCAACCCGCTGCCTGAAATCTTATTTTAACTGTTAATAGTTATTCTAGATTTCTATGAAACTCAATAGATTAAATATTAACTTATTCGTGTACTAAATTTATTCCTCAAATATGTTTATCAAAACGAAGTTGCAATTTATGTCACGCAGTATATTGAAGAAGAGAACAGTAGCAGAAATTTGAATGGCGTGTGGAAAAAATAGGATGCAAGTCAACATTATTTGTGTCACGATTTAACCATTACTTAATTCTTTTTATTATACACCCACGAGTTTTGTTGTTTACTCAAATGCTAATCAATTTCTTTTGTTTGATACATAACAAGCAAGGTCGGTGAGTGAGCACTTTATTAAAAAAAAAAAAAAAAAAAAAAAAAAAAAAAAAAAACTCAAGATAATATTTTGTCAACGACCATCGTTTTTGTTTTCTTTTAAAATGACCAACGAACACTCAACGATTGGGTAGGAAACATGAGAGCCCACCAGTTACAAAAAATTCTTTTGGGGAATCATTTGACCAGCTAACAGTTGATGAAACTCTTGGAAGTAAGTTGGGAACTAACGCAACCACACAAACAGAAATAACCATGACAAAGTACAAAAGGTCTTGGGAGGCTCTTGAGTAGACGAGGGATTTGGATGTAGACTGAGATGACAAGAAGGAAAAAAAAAAAAAAAAGGTTAAAAATCATCATGGTGGCCGGTAGTTACCCTAATGAAAAAGAAATGATAAAATATGAAAGAGTAAAAAAAAGAAAAGAAAGGCAATCAAGGATATTCTGGTTTCGTTTATTCGGCCCGCTTAGTTCGTTGATTCGAATTTTTAATTTGAGTTGAGATGTGATTTTATGTGAGAACTTTTTACTGTAGTAAAAAAGTTAGATGTGATTGTTTGTGAGAGCTTTTTACTGTAGTAAAACTCGAATTAGCGAAATGAACGGAGACAGTTCATTTCATCAATTTAAATTTAAATTTTAAATATTATTATAATAAAAAAATCTCAAAAATAATTACATTTAATTTTTTTATTACAATAAAATTTTTTTACATAAAGTTACATTTTAACTTGAATCAGTAAACTAAACGAACTCTTAACTGATTCGAATTTTTAATTCAAATTTTGTCACAAAGAGTCACATCTTTTTTATTATAATTAAAAATTTTCACATAAAATAATTATATTTATGTTCGAATTGAAAACTCAAATAGACAAACTTAAGCCTCGTTCACTTCGTGGATTTGAGTTTTCAATTCGAGCTGAGATGTGACATTTTCTGATAACTTTTTACTGTAACAAAAAAGTTAAATGTGACATTTTATAAGAATTTTTTACTGTAAAAATTTAAAATTAAAAACTCAAATCAGTAAAATGAACGAGGCCTTAAAGAATCTTTACTTGAGATACGAGTGATCACCATGATTTTGGGTGCTGAAGCTTTTACAAGCTAGGACAATAACGAGCAAAACATTGATGATGCTGTTAAAGAATCCCTCTGTATGTACCACACAAAATGCGTGTCATCTACGCGAACAAATTGATATGTTTTCTCTTTCTTTTTTTTTTTCTTTTTTTTTCAAAAATTATAACGGGATTAAAGGGCGGAGTGATAGAGGGTGGTGATTAACGTTTGGTTCATAAATTTAGAATTATGATTTAAAATTATTTTTAATTTATGTGTATTTTTTATAAAAAAAAATACTATAACGAACCACGAATTATAATTCAAATCATGACACGAATCCACCAATCAAACACAAAGAGAAGAGATACTACATTGATCTCATGAGACATAATTTAAGAGAAATATGATATTCCCATGTGACATATGAATCTTTATAAAGTCGGATCATCGTGACGGTTCATGACTTACGCACACAGACGAGCTGGCTTATCACCCGTCCGGCCAAGCTCTCGGTGGCTTTTCCTCCTTTATACATAAAGAGATATGTATATGTGGTGTTTTCTACAATAAATTTCTATTAGTACGTGCATGTTGAAATTGGGTGATATACAAAACATATCGAATTTAATACAAATTTGAAGCACTATAAAGATATCAATGGTGTTTTTTTAAAAAAAATATATTATACCATTAAATTCTAATATATATATATATATATATAGAGAAAGTCTTTGAAATAAAGAACTCTCAGAAAAAAGATAAATAAGAGGGAAAAAACAATAAATTCTAGCGAGAAATTTGAAAATACGAGGGTCAGCTTTTTATGACAAAGTTTAAATACCTATATCGTGGAGGCAACTAACTGAAGAAAATTAATATTGTTTCTAATTGTTCTTTTTGCTGGAAACCTTCTTGAAGAAGATCAACAAAAGAAAACTAATATTCTTTTAATTTCCAAAAGCATAAGGTCCGGTTTTGGTATTAAAAAGCAAAAACAAAAAAGAGTGGCTATTTAGGACCACAATATATAGCACATGATTTGCCTGGTTAGAATCTAAAATCTCTAGGTTCCATAAAAGGAAAAAAAAAAAAATCTAAATTTTTAGGACAGAGATATCTCACTGAAGACCCTGCACTGTTATAGGCAATTTTGCAGTGTTCCAATAAGCATCCAAGCAAAGCCAAAAATCTCATAACTATGATAAGTAATTTTCCTTCCAAAATTCTTTTCTCATTGCATGAAAAAGTTATCTTCTCTCAATTCTTATGCAAGTATGTATAAAGGTGCAAAACTTGTAAAATTTGCCCATGAAACTAAATGTCCGTTTAGTTCGCTGATTCGAGTTGAGATGTGATTTTATGTGAGAATTTTTTACTGTAATAAAAAATTTAGATGTGACTATTTATGAAAATTTTTTACTGTAATAAAACTTAAATTTTAAATTTGAATCAATAAAATGAACGGAGGTTAAAATTAACATGTGCTACCGGCACATATGTTCCAATTTAAATACATAAAGGCTTATAGTATATCTTATTTCTTTATTTTTTTCCAAGCGTAAGAAGAAAAATAATAAAGGAGCTTTCTTTATAGCATTTTGCACACCCATTCAACGCTCAGCTCAAACACCGTGTTTCCAAGTCAAACCTTTTGTACAAAATAGCAAAGACTTAGAAGATTGGACTTTTTTTTTTTTTTTTTAATTTTAAAGGAAAAACAGATAGTTGGAGCTCCTTTAAAGGGAAGGGCCCTAGTTGAACAAGCGTGCCAAGCTGCAACCAATTCCTTGCCTTGTAAAGAACCCAATTCTCTGATTTGGCCAGATCTTTTTAAAGAGTCTCTGAAAAAAGTAAAAGCCTCTCTCTCTCTCTCTCTCCTCTCTCTCTCTCTCATGTCTTGTGTGTAAAACATAGCCCTACGTTTGGTTGCTTTGCTTTGCTAATCCCTTTTTTCTTTTCTTTTTTTTTTTTTTGCCCTTTGCCTTTGAGCGAGTCTCTTCTTTTTGGTCTTTTTCTCCCTTTCAATTTTCTCTTTTCTTTTTGGAAGTTTCTCGTCACCATCCTATTTCCTACGTCTTTATTATGCATCCAAAGACTTTGGCATCGAACTCCATGAACAAAGTAGAAAAAATTAACCCCCCCAAAGTAACACCTCCCTTAATTTTCACTTTCACACCTCCCTCAAAGGGAAAAAAAAGGTCCCATAAAAATAATAAAAAGCTCAAATCAAAAGAACATTTCCACACTTCCTAGGTCCTATAGTGAAAAGAGTATTTATTTTAATGAAAAAAAAAGAAGACATTTTTTTGGGATACTAATGTTCGCTCAATTTTTATAGTCAACAGACTCAACACCAACAACCATTGAGAATTCAGTTTGTTGACTTGGTTCTCATCTAATCAGTAACAGTAAGTCCTTATTTATTTCACTGAATTTTTAATTTTAATTTTATTATACTTAAAAATTCTTATAAAAAATTAGATTTAACTTTTTTTTATTAAAATAAAAAATTCTCACATAAAATTACATATCTCAATTTAAATTAAAAATTTAAATTCACAAATTAAACAGGACCTAAAATCTCATTCATTTTATCGATACTAATTTAAAATTTAAATTTTATTACACTAAAAAATTTTCATATAAAATTATGTATTAATTTAAATTAAAAACTTAAATTAACCGACTTATATTCCTAAGCCGTAACAGTCATGCGAATTTTACGGTAGGTTAGGGGGGCTGAGGAAATTTTGAGCTCTGCAGATTCTGAAATCTGAAGAAGAGTTTCTGAATTCGTAAGAAGACTACACGCATACCACAGTTCTGAAGCCTTCGTGGAGTAAATATCAACTTCATTTGACGCTACGGTCTATACTTTCTGTCACAAAACAGACCACGTAACGTAAAAACAATTCCATGTAAATAAAACAACGCAACACATAAAAACAAAAAAAAAAACCACACAGACTCTCTCTTTCTCTCCATTAAAAAGCAAAAGAAAAGCTATGGCTCCTCTGCTTTCTCTCTCTCTCTCCTCTCTCTCTCTCTCTCTGCTTACTCAAATCACCATTTTCAATGTTGAAAACACGACCATAAAACGAAGTGCAATTTTTGAGTAAAAGCACCTCTTTTATATATCTCACTCATATCTCCCCCACGTTACAATACTATCCCTCTCTCTCTCTCTCTATCTCTCTCTCTCTCTACATATCTCGTATAAAAGACCAACCATAAACCCTATATCAAGTAGTACTTCCATTTACCCTCGCATTCTCTGTCAGTTTCTCCCTCTCTCTAAACCATGGAAGGTCTGCATTTCCTCAAGTTCTGGAAACCAACCACCGCATTTCCCACTCCTTTAATTGAAGTAGATAACGAAGAAGATGAACAAGACGAAGAAGAAGACTCGTTCTTCGACTTGGAGCTGACTGCACCAGATTTCGACACCAAGAAAAACGACAGCAAAAGCAGTGGTGATAAAACGACCAAAAGCTTCCATCTTAACGAAGAAACAAAACCTGTTATTTACCCAAAGCCTTCTCTTTTGCTTTCTCCGATCGATCCGATTCCCAAGCGGAAAATCCTCCCTCTTGAGCCCATCCCCAAGCCCCAGTCTCCCATGGCTCTCCTCAAATCCGCTCCCACATTCCGAGTCTTCTCGTTCAAGAAATCGAGATCCACAGGAACGACGCAGAAAGCGGGAGAAACGGCGGCGAAATTCAACGCCGGAGAATCTCCGAAGCTTTCCAGAGAAACCAGCTCGAGAAGAACAGAGCGATTCTCGAAGGACGTTATAACGAAGTACCTGAAGCTCGTCAAGCCCCTTTACGTCAAGGTTTCGAAAAGGTACAACGGCGAGAAGATGAATAACTCCTCGGCGGCGGATTTGTTCGTCGGATTTTCGCCGTCGTCGTCTCCGGCGACGGTGGCGTCGCCGAAGGACAAGCCGGCGGGGATTCGGAAGCATCTGCGGAAGAGCAAGTCGTCTTCGGCGACTGCCGTGCCACAAACGACGTCGAATCGGAGAGATGATTCGCTTTTGCAGCAGCATGATGGGATCCAGAGCGCCATCTTGCATTGCAAGAGATCATTCAATTCCTCCAGAGGTAACAAAAACAGCAACAAAAAAAAAAAAAAAAAAGCTTAAATTTTCGTTAAATTTTAGAAAGAAATTATTAAAGTTTCCATTTTTTTGGCAGATTCTTGTTCATTATCGCGATCAACAAGTGATTCTTCGTCCATGAAATCGTATTCTACCGGTACGAATCATATGATTGTTTATCCCCTGTTTTCAAGTCTAAATTTTGATACTTTATTTCGCTTAATTATTGCGCTGAGTTTTAACATTTTCTGCTGAATTTATTCACAGATTCGTATCGATTATCAAACTCTGCTAGCGAGACTTCCCACGACAATTCTGCGAGAAATTCCATCGAGGATGTTCGTGGAATTGGCATTTGAAACTTTCCCAGATTAGTTTATTTTCTTCCTACTAAAACAAACAAAGAAAAGAAAGAAAATAGAAGAACTGTTTTTTTTTTTTCTATAATTATTTTTCTTTAGTATTTGTTGAGTGGTAATGTAATGGTTCGTGTTGTAAAGAGAAAGAAAAACAAGAATCAGAGAGAAATGGAAAGTGTTGTTAGTTATTATTTTTTTTCTTGGATATTTGTTTGTTTTTTCTTTTTTCATATTTTTTTTTTGCTTTTAGTCATGATTACCAGTGAATACCTTGGTTCTCTCTCGTTGCTGTCTGTAAAGTGATGGGTCAATTATGAGAAAATTGAACGAGACTCGGGTACGGGATCTTTTTGTTCTTATGCAGTTTATTTACTATTTATTTATCAGTGCCTTCTTGTGCTCTGCGCTCCAGCATCATCTGTTGCTTTTGAAATGCAGTTCTCGCAATTCATTTTCTTGGGAATTAAAATTTTAATCAAAAATATGATGAAGTAATGTGAATCAGATAGTTTGATAAAAAAAAAAAAAAAAGCAAATGAAGAATATTGTTAAGGAAAGAGAATTGAGAGGTCATTTATTGATAATCAACCTGCAGATTTCAGGAGGGTTGATTTCATCCTGACAAGTGACCATGCTTTGCTTTTGAAAAGTACTTTTGAATCGTAAAAGAAGCATTTTTTTTTAAGACTCATTCCATTCCTTAATTTATCTGTGAATTGTGTTTAAAATTTAAGTTTATTATAGTAAAAAAGTTTTAAAAATAATTATATTTAATTTTTTTATTACAGTAAAATTTTTTTACATAAAATTATATCTCAAAATTAAAAATATAATTTTATGTGAAAATTTTTAATTTTAATAAAAAAATTAAATGTAATTTTTAATAAAAATTTTTAAATTTATTAATTTAAATTAAAATATAATTTTATATAAAATTTTATTAATATAATAAAAAAATTAAATGTAAGTTTCTTTCTAAAAGGAAAAAAGGATAATAAAAAAAGCATTCATATGCTCTATATTCCAAGTCTCTGTGTCCATCCGTCCCATCTGCTGATGGTTTGGTTGGAGATTCAATTTTGACTGCTTGTTGCAACTTGGAAACTGCTATAAAAGTCCATACATCTTTTTCACTCTTATTACATTTCATCTCCCTTTACTTTTCCCATTTTCACTTTGACCTCTCTGAAATCACAATAACACAATAGTGTTGTAAATGAGTTTCTTTTTTGTGCTTCTTTATTACCTTCGGTGCCCAGGAGCAAACCCAGCTAGAAAAGGGCTTTTTCAGGCTATGCAATGCGAATATTTTGTAGTAGTCAGGGTAGACCTTGCAAGTAGGAGGATAAAGTTTGAAATGCAAGATTATATCAAAATAATGCAGATTAACAATAGTATAAAGATGCAACCAAATTTTATAAAAGGGAATTTTTACTTTAAGGCCTGTCATTTTAATTACCTTTTAACCTTTTGATTAAGATGTTTGGTTGGAGGATTCAAACTATGATTTGAATCATGGTTCATGGTTCGTTACAGTATTTTCTCTCATAAAAAATACACGTAAATTAAAAATAGTTTTAATCACATGATTCTAATCTATGAACCAAACGTATCAAGTTTTCGAACACTTGATCTGTAATTTGTAGCTGCTGTATGTAGTATGGTGTAAATTTTTTACGTGAACACTCACAAATCAGCTTGTTGAAATCTTAATCTAATAGTTAAGACAGTAGTACCTACTGATAGTTAAAAATATTAAGTCCTACCGGCTAAGTTCCCATAACAAAGATACAGAAGTTTGAAGTTGTCCTATTGTGTTAACTTTAAGGGTTCTATCAGTAGAAGGTGTTGTTTTTAACTATTGAATTAGTTTTTTAATGGTTAGATTTGTGCATGCCCGCATTAAAAATTTACATAACAAGACACATAATTGTTTGTACTTTAAATCAAACCGTTGAAAAACTAATTCAACAATTAAAACACAGTTTCTATCGGTGAAACAAAAATGCATGTCCTACCATAAACTTTGTCTAATTTTAATACCTTAAGATTAGAATATAATTCTACAATATCTTATGGGTGAAAATAATTTCAAGCAAGGTGTAACAATTAAAAATGTTAAAAAATGTTTACAAGGTGACATAGTAGTAATAGAATTAATGACTGCTCTAGGCTCTAGCTATCACGTCTAAAATTAAAAGCTAGACAAGTGACAAAATCCTTCCTAAAGAAATACTAAGAAGAATGAAGACAAGAACGTTGAGCAATTGGCATTATTTTGCTCCCCACAGGTTCAATGGCTACAAGACATGAAATTGGACAGTTTGAATATTTGAAGTTTGAAAATTCATGGGGAATAGAGGGAAGTGGATTGTCTGTGTAAGGATGTAATAGTCCATAAATGACATGAGGACTAATGCCCTGACCGACAAGCAATGGTCAAGCAAAATTCCAAACCATCATCATAGTATCATAGTGACAAAATGCCAAACTAAAACCACAAACAAATGTGGGCCCCCCCCCGAATATCTCAGCTTAAAAGTCCCTTAAAAATAATAAAAATAGGAAATTGTACCAAGAAAAGACAAATAATGCCCACCCCAAAAACATCAGAGTGAAGCACAAGACAATATGCAGGTCCCTCACTTAACAGGATTTTCAGTGTTTTTTTTTTTTTTTTTTTTTTCTGAATTTCACACAGTTAAGGTCACTATGGAAATGGAACTAAATGGGCATTGCTTGGACTGAAAGTGACTCTTTTGCACTCTATGCCATATTTTGTGCCTTCATTTACTTTGTTTTCTCCAACTTGCCAACATGCCATTAACTCATAAATGGTTGTTGAACATGGTTTGCTTTTCCTTGTGAAACTTATTACATAAGTGTCCTAATATTGCTCTAAGAGCAATCTAGAATTTTCTCAATGAATTGGACATAAGTTCATACATGTGCATTTCTTCTATCTTTATCTATCTTTTTTTTTTTTTTTTTTTTTTTTTTTTTTTTTTTTTTCTTTTTTTTATCCATTTGATTGGTAAGATCAATATGAAATTAATTTCAGTTTTAATGAAAGTAACAATTTGTAAACACGTAAAGGGAAAGATTCATTGCACCAAGTAGAGGACTTTTGAGGACAAAGAGGATATTATAACTAAAAATCTTACTAGCCTTGAGAAATTTTGAGAGAGAGAGAGAGAGAGGAATGAATGCATTCAATTTCATGCAATGCACCAAAGGAGACACTAAACAAACAAAGACCCGACACCGTGTTTTCGTCCGAGGGCCATAGATTTGCCCTGTTTCCTCCTCTAAGCTGATTATGTGTCTCATTGCGTTCTTTTTAATAAGATATCCACAATTGCACCATAGACGTTGCTAACTACATATGTGTCATGTTCACCAATTTCCCAACATTAATATAAGCTCTTCTTGTTTGTGAAAACAACAATGTTTGGGAACATTATGATTGAAAATGGAGTTCTTGCTTTCGAGTTCACTGGACCTGTCTTAATCATCCTTGCAAAGCTGATCAAGAAAAAGGAAAAGGAGATCATTTTGGAAAAATGGTTTCAATCAATTATGCATGAACTAGATTTAGAAGGTATTTATTATTATTATTATTATTATATAAATATGTTGGAATTGCTATATATGAAAGCAAGGTAGCTAACAGAATGTAATAATTATTACTTAGGGTCAGTCCACATCATTTGTAGGCCGATGATCATGAGATCTTAATACATTTTTTTTTAAATAAAGAATGAATGTGTCGGGTATATGTTGATACAGTATCACAGATCTAAAACTTGAATTATCCACTTTCAAACCAAAAATAAAAAAATAAAAGAAAATTTGAATTATCCACGCAAAAAACAAAAGAAAAACGAAAGGCTGATTATGAGTTCCTTGTTTTAAAAAATGCTTACTTTTTTCATTTATTTTCAAAACTATCTACTATCGTACATATAAAGACATTTATATCTTTATATAATAAAAAGGGAAAAAAATAATGATACAACAAAATAGGAAAGAAAATGAAACGCAATCTGAATATAAAATATTCTAAGTTTAAAATACAAAAGTTAAATTATTGCATTAATAAAATCGAATCTAATTATTTTTTAAAAGAGAGAGTTTCTTATAAAAAAAGAAAGAAAATCCACTGAATATTTTTAAAAATCTAAGTCTTAAAAGTCTACGACCTCGATAATTCTTTCAAATTGAGTCCCTATACCCTAAATTCAAACAATCTTTTCATTATTTAATGGTCAAATCATTATGAAACAAAATATATAATACAAAAGAACACAAAAAATATATACATTAAAAAGCTTCTCATTAGTCTTATGGTGATATCAGATTAATGCACATTGGAAATTAAAAAAAAAAATTGCAACAAGTTTCAAACAATCAACATGCATGTATTCATGAACACATAATAGATCGTTTCATTATTGTAATGATTTCAGAATTACGAAAAGAATGAATGTAAAGTTTGAGATGATTAGGGTAAAATCAAACACCGAAATAAATGAGTTTTTGAGTGGACGAAAAAACACAAAAATGTATAAAATCAAATACCTATTTTCACTAAAATTATGATCATATCATAATGAAATAAAATTTCTATAAAGAAGAAACACTAAATGGACTCATCAAAAAACATTTCATTATATGAGAAATTATAGTAAAGATATAAAATAGGCTATAGCCATGCAAAAAATATAAAATAAAAGGCATTTTCATTATCTTAATAACGATATCATTATTAAAAACAATGAATACAAAATTTGTTGTAATGAAATAATTAAAATGCACGAAAACATGAGCTTGCAATTTATCTATATTCATTGTGTGAAAGCAGGTGAAACTTGTGATAAGATATAAAACAAGCTATAGACAAGCAAACAAAATAACAGATAAAAACGTTTATCGCATTTTCATTATCTTAATGACAATATCATTATGAAAACAAAATGAGTACAAAGTTTGCAAACAATTCAAAACAATCAAAATGCATGAAAACATGAGTCTACATTCTGTTTATTTTCGTTATGTTAAGGAACGAGAAAATTATAGAAAATAATGAAATCTCTCGCATTTTCATTATGTTAATGACGATGTTATTATAGAAAGTAATGAATATAAAGTTTGCAAACACTCTAAAACAATCAAAACGCACAAAAAAATGAATATGCGTTTTTTTATTTATTTTCGTTATGTTAAGGAATAAGAAAATTATGGTAAAGATATAAAATAAGCCATAGACTAGCAAACAAAACAACAAATAAAAAAAACCCTGGCATTTTTGTTATATTAACGACAATGTCATTATGAAAAAAAAATACAAAACTATAATATAAAAATAACACGAAAAATAACGGCATAAATGGTAAAAAATGAAAAACCCAAAAATCAAAAGGAAAAGAATAACAAGAAGAAGAAGAAGAAATGTTGCACAACCCTTTTGTTTTTGTAAATCCCTCCCAAAATGTGCGCTTCATATATTACATCATTAATCCACCAAAAAAAAAAAAAAACAAGAAGCACAAATACTTTATCTACAGAACTCAAAAAACCAGCAAAGAAATGGAAACTAATTAAGAAGATCAATCACCGACCAACACAAACTTTAGGTCCACAACACGCATACATCTGTAGTAACATGGAGATGGAATCACTTTCGGCACAACAACATATGAAAAGGAAGCGAAGAGACCGTAGAGACATGGGACGGTCGTGTTCGAGTACAGGGAAAAAAAATGGCCTAGGGATTACGGAACTAAGAAAAAGGAATGTTGAATTGTCAAATAATCAATTAAAGCTAAAAAGGAAAGTAAATATGTGGAATATTATGAGAAAAAACAAACAGAATACATAAAATATAAATTAACCATATATTAAACATACCCCAATAACCAATAAGGACATATTCAGTAACATACATGCCTAAATCAGTATTTTTGTAATATTGTACTATAACCGATATTTTTAAAATTAAGAAGACATTTTATATAATTATTTCTTGAATAGGGCTTATTTGCTTCACCCGCCAAAAATGGGCGTACCGGGCCTGGGGGAGATTGAGGCCCAAATATGAGTTTTTGTAGTAAGGTCTAAATCTGTTAACAAGGCGTAAATGTTTGGTAAACTTCTATTTACTTTAAAAATCAAGATCTGCTTTACTATTTTCTTGTCTTAATGACTATTTTTCTAATTAAAATTTGACATATTGTGATTTTTTAAACATTTTTAGTATTTTGTTCTTATTTATGTTATAGATTTCTAAATTTAAATGACATTACTAATAATTAGTGGAATGACAGTCACCAAAACAGAAAAATAAGGACAACAGATCTGAACTCTATTTTAAATAATTTTAAAATATGTTATTTAGTTAATTTGTTTCATAAATATGCTATTCACTAAATTTATCTACAATTCTTTTTTTTTAGTTTTAATATATAGTATAATAGGTCAGGGATGAAAAAAAATACGCAAGAGCCACCTCTTGTTTTATTATAATTTATAATCAATTGAGTATTTTCACGGTAATGGCGTTCGCTTATCCAAACGTTGATCTGGATCCCAAAGTCTTTATCCTTGGCAAAAAATTCCAAAGTTATACGATTAATTAATGCTCAAAGTCTTTATAGCTATGAAGTACTAAATCTACATAAATCAATAGCAAATCCAGCACGGAACCAACAACATTAGTATATATACTATGAAAAGTATGAACAATAGTATGCCCCAAAAGTTATTAACATAAATAAATAAACAAATTAATGGAAAAAAAAAGAAAAAAAAAAAATCAAAATCCATGGTCCAAAACATAATCACTGGCATATCAGATTCTGAACCGAGCGTGAGGCGATCACAACATTCATGGTGCAATTCAGCCGCGAATACTTCGTCTTCCTGATGACCTTCAGAACCCGAACCTTCCCTTTCAACTCAGACGAACTATTCAGCACCAAAACCCCCTCGCCAATATCCTTCCCCAGCTGATCAAACGCGCCACTATCGCCAACCAAACTACTCGAGTCCAGAACCACCGTGGCGTTCACCTTCTTCGTCGTCCGAGGCCTGACTCGCGCGTCGTCGATGTAGGCCTGCCCTACGGCCAAGCCCCTGTACTCGAACACGACCGTCGCGTCCTCGTACTTGTACCGACCGAAATTCCTGTTCCTGATCGTGAACTGGGAGTTCATGACGAAGCTGAAGGAGGGGTCGGTCGAGTTTCCGACTTGGAAGGATGTAAATGAAGCGCTTCTGAGTCTGAATTTGGGGGTTTTGTAGCGTGTGACGACGATTGCGTAGACTATTATGAGGATGACTAGGGTTACTGCGAAGGACGTGACGAATAGTAGGCGGTTTCTTCGCTTCTTTCTGATGTGTTCTTGTGCTGAAAGTGATTCCATTTCCATGTCGCTGCGGATGTATGCGTGTGGTGGAGCTAAAGGTTGGGTTGGTTGGTGATTGATCTTCTCGGTTTCCATTTCTTTGCCGGTTTATTTGAGTTCTGTAGATAAGTGTTTGTGCTTGTTGTTTTTTTGGTGGATTAATGGTGGGATTATTGCGTGTTAGGACTTAGGCTTATAATTTATAGAATATGGAAGAAGCTAATATAGTTAGGTAAGAATATGAGACGGGGTAAAAACTGTCTTGTCTTCGTTTGAAAATTATTGCGAGAGATGGGGTTTTTCTATAGTTGTTCTCTCTCCTTTTCCAAACGCGTTACGTAGGCTTTGAAAGGTTGACCTTGGTGCGGAAACGTCTAGATGATCTTTTACGTTTCAAACAAAGATAAAAGGTCATTGTTTACGGGGAGAAAAAGGAAAATATGTTAAGAATTGAGATGAATTAAAATTAATAGGTTAATAGTTTATATAAGTTAATAAATAGGTTAAATTATTATTTTCGTCTATAACTTGTCTGGTTATGAACTATAATTTGACAAGTTATTGTCTATAATTATCTATAACTTGTCTGGCTATGAATCATAACTTGATAAGTTTGTCTATAACTTATCTGGTTATGAACCATAACTTGACAATGTATGACCTATTAATTTTTATAACTAAAAATTAACCTATATACTTTCTTAAACTTTTTATATCGGCATATTTTCTACTATTTTCCTTGTTTATATGTCAAAATCATAAGCGAAATTTCCATGGACCTGTGTATTTGGAGTTTTGTGTCTAATTAATTTCTTTCTGTTGTGGCCATTTACTTTTGGTGCTAGTGACATAATCAAGATCAGGAAACATGAAACGTTTGAAAATTTGCACATTTGGCTGTCATCTGTCGCACATTTTGCTTTCTAATAATTTAGTTGAGTTAATTAGAGGAATACCACTTTTAGGGAATTGTGGTATTAAAATTTTTCTTCTTCTTTTGATGAAAAATACATGTCGTTTTTCTGGGGTTGATCGTGCGTCGTTTTTACTTATTTGAGAGAAAAGCAGTATGAAGGAAAAGGGGAAGTTTTACCCTGTAAAACTGGATATTGTTTAATTTCATTGTCGTATTTCTGTTAGAAAAGGAAAACGACTTGTACGTAATTGATTGATTCTGTAAACTACTTTCAGACTAAAACAATAATAATAAAACCTAAGATATACAAAAGATTTGTAGCTTCTAGGTCTAAACTGACAAGCTTTGACAAGCCTTTTCAGTTGATGTCATCTGTTCATTGGATAACAGCGACGTGATGTCCTGTTTGTTTCCGTTTTTATTTTTATTTTTCACATTTTTTGAGATTAAAAAATGAAAACGGAAACAAAAAATGCGTTTGACTTAAAAATTTTTTAAAAACAAAAATAAAACCGTTTTTGTCTTTTGTGAAAAATTAAAAATGAAAAAAATGTGTTTTCATTTTCTTGTTTTCGTTTTCTGAAAACAGATTTCATTTTTTTTTTCATTTTCTTCTCTCTCTTTTCTAAACTGTTTTTGTCTTATATAATGATGTTTATTTAATATATTTATTTAATATATTTAATAATATTATTTATTTAATATATTATTATTTTAAATATTATTACATGTTTTCAAAAATTAAACCACCAAACGTAGTTTCAGTTTTTTTAAAACTGAAATCAATTTTTGAATAAAACTACCAAATGCATTTCAGAAATAATTTTAAAATGAAAATGAAAACATTTTTATTTCTATTTTCATATAGAAAACAAAAACATTTTAGAACCAATTCTAAACGCACCCGATGTTTTTCACAGGTTAGCAAAGGACAAATTCTTTGTTCCAGAGGTCCCAGGAACCGAAACGACGATTTTGTTTTAGCTTGGAAACGATATGCGTTTAATGCAGTGTCGTTTTGTCTTGGGAGAAAAATGACTTGTCGTGTATGTGATAATAAAACGATATGTCGTTTTATGAGACTAGAACGCCATGTCGTTTTTATAGAGCTCTTCTTTTCCATCACGCTTTTTTGGTGGTCATTTCGTTATTTCCTATAAGGGAATTTAACTATCATTTATTACTGTTAAATATCCGAGTAAGGAATAGTAGACAATGATAAATTAATAATGAATCGTTCAAGTTATATGGTTTGGCACGCCATCTTAGACTGTTTCAAACGCGTTGGAGAATGTCAAACATTTTACATCCCTTTTTCTTTCGTTTTTTACCTCCAAATTCGATCTGTCTTTTACCACATTTGTTCCCACACTTTTACACACCACTATCGTCGATGGACAGTTGAAATTTTGATAATTAATTATGAGAATTATGTAAGATCATGCTGATCAAGTATAAGTCGCACATTAAATTTGTCTCGTTCACTTCGCTGATTCGAGTTTAAAATTCGAGTTGAGATGTGATTTTATGTAAGAGCTTTTTACTGTAACAAAAAAGTTAGATGTGATTATTTGTGAGAGTTTTTTACTGTAGAAAAACTCAAATTTTAAACTCGAATCAGCGAAGTGAACGGAAGAACAAAAAAAGCTTTCAAAGTTCAAACTTAGTCGTGATGGGACAAAATCAATCCCTCATTCACTACACAGAATTATATTATTCTTTGCTTTTTAGGAAATTATTATTATTTTATATATTCTTTCGCTTTTCAACTAAATCAGCGACTGTAAGTTGACTAGTCGTTGGCCTAATATCTGATGTTATATGTCCCACATGAGACGCGTTTAACAAATTATATATCCAACACGTTAAAAAGTTAATTTATAACATGCGCATCCTACTATATATCATCTTCTTCTTCGCAATAATACACGCACTCAACTTCACAAGGAGATCACTCAAAATCTTTCTCCACAGACCCAAATCAAGCAGCTTGTATTTCTTTCCTCATCAAAGTTTATACGAAGCTTATTAAGCATGGCAGAGAAAGATGATCAACCACTTCAAGCCGAAACATACGACCTAGAGTCTGCATCGTCAGCTGATCACGAGTCCAATGCCAAAGAGTTGCAACACAAGAAACGCATGAGAAGATTGGGAGGTGTCACTGCCATTGTAGTGCTCCTGACAGTAGTTATATTGGTGTTTCCGCAAACCGTAATGCGTATCAAAGGCCCGGAACTCCGAATTCGCTCCGTCGCCATTGAAGATCTCACCATCAGCAACTCAGACACGAATTCTCCTTCACTTAGCATGAAATTCGACTCAGAAATCGGCGTCAAGAACACGAACTTCGGAGAGTTCAAGTTTGACGAGAGCTCAATTACGTTTGTTTACAAGGGGACTGAGGTTGGTGACGCTTCTGTCGAGAAGGGAAAGGCCAAAGCTCGATCAACGAAGAAGATGAACGTGACGGCCGAAGTAAACGCGAATTCGAACTTGGCTAATGATGTGAGATCGGGGTTTTTGACACTGACCAGCCAGTCCAAGCTAAACGGGAAAGTGCATTTGATGAAGGTGATAAAGAAGAAGAAAACTGCTGAGATGAACTGCACTATCACCATTAATTTGGAAAACAAAGTGGTACAAGATTTCAAGTGCAAATCGAACTCAAATTAACTAAAATAACTAATAAAATCTTGTTCGAGTGAGTGATTATATGGGTTTTGTTTACTTGTAAAGGGTAAGGGTGGACTGATTTTTACTGTATTCGCTGCTCGCAGCTTCCTGTCCGTGTACTTGGTTAATTTGTTTTCGTGGTGATACGTTTTTCAATCATTTATCCAAACAACATTTAAATTATTCAATTCTTCATCTATATATATCAACCATATACCAATTTATGGGATTAATCTTGAGGGTCCCTAAACGCCGCCTAAATCTCATTTTGTATGTTAGCATAACCCTTCCGTTGACACATAATATGTACAGTTAAAAATGGCCATTAAACGATGATATATCACGATTGGTTAGAAAATAAGCACACATTTTAGTGTTGCTCTTCTCGTCAAAGGGAAATATTTGGCTTCATTAATCTGAAAATTTCCGTGCATCTATGTTAATAACCATTTTTTACAATCATATTGGGCTATATAATTTGTCCTACATAACCAAAATAACCTCTTAACTTTCAAAGAATTAAAGATACGATCCTCACAGAATACCCCTTAGCTGATTTTTTTTTTTTAAAGCAAAAAGAACTCGACAATTTAACGAGGAATTCAAGACAACACAATCAATTGACCTAACCACGTATATGATAAACGAGTCTTTTTTTTTTTTTTTTTTAATACCGCCTCAAATAAGGCTCATATTATTAAAGGACAATGAAAAACGAGTCATAAACTACAAATTATCAGAAATTGCTATTTGCTATGTACGTAGTTTTTAACAAACGGTACTGCTCCTCCACAAAATTCAGAATCTTCAGCAATCCAAAAGCAAATCCCAAAAGAAAAAAAGAAAGGAAAATTGGAATCATTAATTTCACTTGCATGACAAATCGTTGATCATTTTCGTTGAGGTATTCAAAACAAAAGAGCAGTTCATCTCCGCTGACTTCTTCTTCTTGAAATAATGAAGCAGATACACCTTCCCATTCAAATTGGCACGGGCACTAAACGTCAAGTTCTTCGAATTTATGTCGCTTCCCAATTGAGAATTCGACGAAACCTTGTCCGAATTCAACGGCACCGTCACGTTAAACTTACTTGGCGCCTGACTTAAATACGGTGGCCGGTTCAACCTCAGTTCCTCTATGGGAGACAGTTACCTTGGTTTGATCGAACTTGTATTGGCCGAAATTGGTGTTTTTGACCGTGACCCGCGCGTTCAGTTTCGAGCTAAAAGATGGAGAGTTTGAGGATGACTTTCCACTGATACTGAGGCCAAACGAATTTTGGGAGTTCTCACTCGCAAAACGAGAACCACAAGTAGGACTAAGATGAAAGAAAGTGAGCCTCACACGTTTGAAATATTCGCAGACGATTGCTTCCCGTGAAGAGAGAGAGAGAGAGAGAGAGAGAGAGAGAGAGAGAGAGAGAAAATATTCGCAGCAAAATAGATCCTTAACTTTAGCCAGAATCAGATTATGGATGAAGGAGATGCACCAATATATCATTTCTGCAGAAAGATTTAAGTTCAATTCGTGTGTATATATATATATATTTGTGCGTGTGTATATATATATATATATATATATAGGAGCAATGTAGGTAAATAATTAGACTTATGTGATGTGCTGGCCTAATTTATTTTATGAGCGAAGCTGCAGGGAAATTGATCTGGGCTAGTAAGTTTCGACGCAAGGGCATGATGTGAAATTCTCATGAAACAAAAAGGTTTGCGTAACCCGTTTATTAATTTTCACGTCTTAACATGTTGACACATCATTAATAGACGGGTGAATTTTAGATCAACACGCCTAACTTAAAATTTAACCATATAAGACGTTATTAGGTTAATTGGATCGGAGGTCAATATAATACGATAATAACCAATTCGTTTTATGACTTGCCGATCAAATCTACGTAATTATGTTAAGTACTTATAGTTGTTATAATATGGTTATTTCAGGCTTTGACATAGTCAGTTCGTGCTAAATTGTTGTTAACTTTGAGCAGTTGTACCGGTTTTACTAATCAAGATAATTAAGTCATAAACGCATCAACTTTACATAATGACATGAACAATATATGGTTACATGAATTGCGACTCATGTTTGGCTTGAGCTACAATATATTTTGGTAGTTTAGAGGGAAAAAAAAAAAAAGATTGACCTTTTCACCTTGTTAAGAAATTCAATTTTCTAATTATGCTCAAAATACCACTACTCCTAGGTTTCCTCTCTCTCTCTCTCTCTCTCTCTCTCTCGCAGGCTCACAGATATTTTCTACTGGCTCTACATATTATTTACGTCCTAATTTAATGTCAATCTTGAATGCTCGGTCTCCTCCTTTTTTCTTCTTTCTAAAATTTGTTCACCAACAAATATCAAATGACCGAAGAAAGTATCTAAAACGCTTACTAGAAACTTGATTGGGCAAATTAAACTAGTTTCTGTCCAGTGTTTTTTTTTTTTTTTTTACTGAATTGTCCATTCATTTCTGTTGTCGTTTCTGTTTGTTTGCATGGTTTCTTCTGTATCGAACTGTGTACACTGTACATGCAGAACTAATAATACGGAGGAATCACGGACGTACAGCTATTTAATGCAAATGTTCGTCGTCAAGTGGATGGATAGACTTATAGTGATTCATCCAAGACTTACGACAAAACCCAAATATGACAGAGGCAGAGAAATAAGATAGAGGTGAAACTAGCTATGAGATAACAGTGGACTCGTGAACGAGGCGAGGACGATAGCCTCGTGTCTTTTTTTTCCCTTTCTAATGACAAATTCCACTACTTCCAATAATTTCCCGATATTATTATCTTATTCTCTTGTGATCATCTTTTATACACACACACACACATATATATATATATATGTAGCAACAAACTCATTAATAAATGTTCACGTGCTTCTTCGGTTGTTCCAAGCAAAAAGGGGGGCAAAAAAGAAGCGGCCGTGATCGTGATAAGAACAGATTTCTCAAGGACATCAAGATTATTCCATCGGCCCCGCCATGGGGGATAAAGAGACTATGTTGGGGTTAGGTTAATTACAGGTCAAAATTTAAGGACACAAAAAAAAAAAAAAAATAGAAACTGAGCATGTAGATTATTAGAAAATGAGAACGATACCATTGGACGATGGATAAAAGTTGGGGTTAATTTCGACTTATAAAGTTTCTGTGAAAAATAGGTATAGTTGTTAATTAGCTTATAGTATTATTGCACCAATTTTTTTTTGTTTTTATATTTATACTTTAGCCATTGCACCAATATTTTTATATAAAAACAAAAAAAAACTAACATGTAAAAATAAAAAACTAACATGCACTACTAATTAGTTGAATTATTAGAGGTTACCACAAAACAAATAAAATTATTAATTAAGTTCAAAAATGAAAAATGAAAATAAAATTATCAATATAGAGGGAATGCTAGACAACTAATTTTCTATTCTCACATTCTTATTCTTATCCTCTATTATTACTGAACTACATTAACCCTTATTTCTTATCCACTTTTATCTAATTAAACCTCTCAATAAACACCCATGATCTCCACAAATATTTCTCTCTCTTCAACAAAACTATTACCCCTTTGATCATCTCTCTCTCTACCTCACTCCACTATACTCCCCCATGGAAAACCAATCCCAATCGCCGCCACCCAAACTCAAAACCTACGAACTAACAGCCTCATCAATCTCCTACACCAAGTCAACCACCATCACCTCCTTATTCAAGCCAATATGCACCCCCACCCAACCCCCCCACATCCTCCGCCACGTCACCCTCACCGCCCGCCCTACCCAAATCCTAGCCGTGGTGGGCCCCAGCGGCGCCGGCAAGTCTACCCTTCTCGACATCTTGGCCGCCAAAACCTCCCCCACCAAGGGAACTCTCCTCCTCAACTCCTCCCCTCTCGTCCCTTCCTCCTTCCGCAAGCTCTCCGCCTACGTCCCCCAGCACGACGCCTGCCTCCCCCTCCTCACCGTCTCCGAGACCTTCCTCTTTGCCGCCCGCCTCCTCATCCCCAAAGCCTCCGACCTAAACGCCGTCGTTTCCTCCCTCCTAACGGAGCTCAAACTCACCCACCTCTCCGACATCCTCCTCGGCCACGGCCTCTCCGGCGGCGAACGACGCCGCGTTTCGATCGGGTTAAGCCTTCTTCACGACCCCGCCGTCTTGCTCCTCGACGAGCCGACCTCCGGCCTCGACAGCACCTCCGCTTTCAACGTCATGCAGATCCTCAAGTCCATTTGCGTCTCGCGTCACCGGACTGTCGTTTTGTCCATTCACCAGCCCAGCTTCAAGATCCTCTCCATTATCGATAGCATACTCTTGCTTTCCAAAGGAACTGTCGTTCACCACGGAACGCTTTCTTCGCTTCAATCTTTCTTGCTCAGCAATGGATTCACCGTTCCCTTGCAGCTCAATCCACTGGAATACGCCATGGAAGTACTTAACCAGCTTCCTGAGTTAAAAGCCATAAGTGACCCTCCATCACCTAGTACTACTACAAATTCTCCTTCTGATCATAATCATGATATTAAAGAGGCAAGAAATAGTTTTGTGAGATATAAAAGCACAAGAATCCACGAAGTGCTCACATTGTACAACAGGTTTTGGAGGATCATTTACAGAACCAGACAGCTTTTGTTAACCAACACGTTGGAGGCTCTAATCGTGGGACTTGTTCTAGGAACGATTTACATCAACATCGGATTCGACAAAGAAGGCATCGAAAAGAGGTTCGGTCTCTTCGCTTTTACTCTTACTTTCCTCCTCTCTTCCACAACCGAAGCTCTTACGATCTTCATCAACGAGAGGCCAATACTTTTAAGGGAAACTTCTAGTGGGGTTTATAGGCTCTCGTCCTATCTGATAGCCAACACACTCGTGTTCATGCCTTACTTGTTGGCCATTGCAATCATATACTCGGTCTCGGTCTATTTCCTGGTAGGACTTTGCGCTTCATGGCAAGCTTTCGCCTACTTTGTATTGGTCATATGGGCCATTGTTCTTATGGCGAACTCGTTTGTCCTTTTTTTGAGCTCTTTGGCTCCAAATTACATTGCCGGGACTTCACTTGTTACAATTCTTCTTGGGGCTTTCTTTCTCTTCTCCGGATATTTCATCTCGAAAGAGAGTTTGCCCAAGTACTGGCTCTTCATGCACTTCTTTTCCATGTACAAGTATGCCCTAGATGCACTTCTTATCAACGAGTATGGATGTCTCGTCTCGACGTGTTTTTTGTGGTACGAGGAGAGCAAGGAGTGCATGGTGACCGGAGGCGATGTGTTGCAGAAGAGAGGGCTTCATGAGAGGCAGAGGTGGACCAATATTTACATCTTGATTGGGTTCTTTGTGTTATATCGCGTGCTTTGTTTGTTTGTTCTCATCAGAAGGGTTTCAAGCTCAAAAAAATGAAAGAAATCCCAAAAGTCGAAGTATCAATAAAAGTTTCATTTTTTTTTTCCTTTTTCTCAACTTAATGTTTGTAATGTGCATTTCATAATTGTTTCAAGAAATAAAGCAAGATACTTTCAGACGTTAGATGAGAACAGATGGAAGAAAAAAGGTATATAGCTACTCCATTGCTTCATTTTGTATTTTTGGAGGTAAAGAACGAAATAGATCGATCGATAAATTGTATCAAATCCAAATTATCCAATCACAAAGTTTTGTAAATTTAATTTTTCTAAATCTCTTCTCCAAAAACCCGAAGAGATCACTGTTGTTTACCCTATTTTCTTTCTAATATACGACATAAGTGCCTGTTTATCCTTTCGGCAGAAGATGTGGCAAAGAACAAAACTTTGAAAAGTCTAAATTTTTTTTTTTTTGGGGGTATATAGTTCGTCGGATCTATTATTGATCAAGTGAAAAAAAAAAAAAATTGCTTGAGCTCGAATCTTTGCATTCTTAGAAAAATTAGATCAGTACGGTGACAAGGGGCAATGTACTTCTAACTTTTGATCAGCAATTACTTAAATACGTTCATAATTAGGATAGCAGCAATAATATTCGGTTAAGTTGTTCTTTATTTGATTTTCAGGACTTGCATGTAGTAGGTTATAAAATGCATGCTCTAAACTCCTCTGACTGATTGCGCATGTTTTCTTTTGCATGTAATCGATCTATATAATCTTAATTGGTGAATGAGATAGCTAGTGTGCTTACCCATATAGCTGTAAGGGCTGACACAAATAAATTAATTAATTTAATCAGTAAATTTTAATTGGTGAATTGTTTCTTCAATTATAATTTCTCTCTCATTTAGCCAAGGCGTTAAGAGTTTTTTGGTACTTTGTTCGACAAATAATTCGTGGTCACGGGTAGTTTGAGCAAGTGATGGCCAGTTAGCTAGCACAGAGAGAGAGAGAGAGTACTGATCATTGAGAAGGGAATACGAATCCAAAAGTGTCAACCTCAAAACATAAGATCTTTGTCGGCTTCGGAGTTTTAATAACATGCTTTTGTTTGCTTTCGATTATAATTCCCTCGAATCAGCTTCTATTTATGTCACGGGCTCGTCTTTAATTTGTTTGTCGCCCGTGAACTCATAATTGATGCCTTCTCTGTCAATTCTCCAATGAGACCATGACTACCTGCACCCTACTTTGCATATATTTTGCATTCCAGCTGCCTTTGCGGTTTTGATGATCATCTAATTATCGATCAGTAAGTGTGCGAAAGAAAATTCGATCGATCGAGGGAGAGCAAATTGATGTACTTTCGTTTTGGGTTTTGTTCATGTTAGATCTGATGTTACGTTTGGTGTTTCAAATAATGTTAAAACACTGTCTGAAACACGGCTTAATTAATTAATATCTGGGTTAATTACGTTCAGTTGTTCGAGTAGAATAAAGTGCAGAAAGTAAAGGAACACACAATATGATATCACAGTTTGGTACGCACACCTACATCTGCGGGGTCACGCTCAGACAGTAAACAGTCTCACTATGTTCTAGAAATTACAGACATCGGACGGACTTATTCACTCAAGAACTCCCTCCTAGACAATGACGCCATTGTGACGAATCTCCACAATGATTATTTAGTGTGCACCACACGTCTTCTATTCACCTGACGAACTCCCTTCGACCGGTAAAACTTCCTCCCGAAAGCAACAAATCCCTCTCCCGAAGGACAATCTCAATAGCGCACTAGGCTCATAAAAACTCACATACTCTTTTATGAAAATATTCTATTAAACCCCTGTCCATTATGAGCTGCGATGAAGCCTTTAAATAAAGCTTCTTAGATTTCACAAGAATCTACTTCTCAAAATATATGCACAATATCTTCATGTTATCTCCTCGTGACGCATATTTAAATTCAAACTAGAACTAGATCTCCTTTTGAATTCAGATTATACACCACCTTATCCAAATTCGATAATAACTTTATATTCACATTGACTCCATCATCACCTTTTCGGCATTTATATCCTATATATCTTACCTCACCCGCTGCCTTCTTCTCCAAGCTCCATTCACTTTCAACATTAACAATATATAGTTATCACATGCAAACCTCTCACGCTTTACGTAATACATCAAGCTCTTTGTTCTACCGATTCTTCAAATCTTGTTTGAACTTCAAAACCAAGATTTTATCTTCACTTTATCTTACTACCATTATCTCCTTTCCAAAATCTCATTTAAATTCAAATAACTAATGCCTTATCTTCTTTTGACTAAGGTCTTATTTTTATCTTTTCAAATCTCAACCAACGTCTTATCTTTATTTGACCAAGTCTTTATCCTTATATCTCCAAATCTCAACTTAACAAAATCTGTAACTTTAACTTCAAATCTAATTGCGAATTTTCTTCTGTAATACGAAATCTTCTTAAATCTATTTTTTGAATTTTTATAAGATTACCAATAAAATGCCAACTAATAAAAATACCTAACAGTTCAGATCGGCCTAATCAATGTTTAATTACAGAACTATATATAGGTCTATTAATTACTTGATCAATCGTAAGTTTCACTTAATCAACGTGGAGTATTTCAAGGTTTTTTTTTTCAAAAAATAAAAAATAAAAAATCAACTTAAACGACATATTGGCTTATATATGCTTTTGATCTTGATACTGAAGTTTTTTATTTTTTGAGGGATTGGTACTGAATTTCTAATAATAATAAAAACAATAATAACAGAGATGGACGATTTTCTACTATTTTACTGCATGTAGCTTTTTACCCAAAATACCTCCTGTTATATCACCACTGGCTTTCGGCATATATATACATAATTAAGTGGCTTGCGTGACGCGCTCCTCATCTGAGAGGTAAGATCTGTCTCTATTGAACGTTCAATGAACATTAATCTTATTAATATTTGAGGATCCTTTTAGTTATACTTATAAGGGAGATATGTTAAGATATGTTATTGTTGGTCGTTCCCTTTAGGAATTATTTTTTAATGAAAAAAAATCAACATTCACTTGCAAATACATGACTGTTGACAGTGATTTTCTGACAGCGCGTGATTAACTCTCTAAAGACACTCACGATAATCACTCACGGATTAGCTAAAGATTAAAGCCGTAAAATAACGTAAAGTAGACAAGAATTTCTTGTGGTTCGGCAAGAATTCTTGGCCTAGTCCACATGTGGATGCACTAATCTTTCTGAGATTACAGGTTCTTCTTTGAGTAATGAAACAGTGTGTAACCCTTCAATGGGGTTTTTTGGCTCTATTTATAGGCCTTTACATGTGAGAGATCCCCTTTGCATTCCCCGAGGGAGCCATCTTCTATCCCTGAATTTTGGGATTGCGTAGGTGCATTTTCATGATGACAATCTCAGGAAATCAGGCTAACCTCTCTTACCGACTACCTGATTTCCTGACTTCAACAGTAGCATTTGGCACAGTGCATCCTTCCCTGAGTTGACAAGACTATTGATGGATTTGACTGGATCTGCTGCCTCAACGTAATGGCCACCACAAGCCGAGCAAGGTGCTCAACGTCTGTTATCCTGTATGGGCTCTCGACGTCCAAAGGGCACCTTAGCTACAGTGGTTCCCTCGACGCCAGCAACCGATTCTCAACGGGGAAGCCTCGGCGCTTGCCGTTCGAGAGAATGGTTAATTGCTCGACCATGACGTAACAATTAGCTCGGCGTTCCTATCCTCCTCATACCGAGTTACTCGGCTGGTCGGAATGGATACCTCGACTGGAAGGACTACCTCGGCTCCGTAGGCCATCGAGAAGGGAGTCTCCCCCGTGGTAGTCCTACTCGTTGTCCTGTAGGCCCACAGGACTTTTGACAACTCGTCTGCCTATTTTCCTTTGTAGCTGTCGAGCCGTCGCTTAAGCGTGACCTTTATGATCTTATTGACCACCTCGACCTGGCCGTTGGACTACGGGTATACAACAGAGGAAAAATTCTTATGAATTCCCAACAGCTCGCAAAACTGGTTGGTGTTGTCGTTGTTGAATTGTCTCTCGTTATCAGACACGAGAGAATGTGGTACACCAAACCTGCAAACTATGTTGTTCCGTATGAAGTTGGTACACTTTTCCTCTGAGATAGTCGTCAGTGGCTCAGCTTCCACCTACTTGGTAAAGTAGTCGACTACCACAATGGCGAACTTATATCCCCCAGGGATTTTGTGTAGTGGACCAATAAGGTCAATCCCCCATTTAGCAAAAGGCCAGGGAGAGACTATCGACGTTAAGTCCTCTGAATGCAGTCGAGGAGTAGGGGCGTACCTTTGGCAGCTTTCACACCTCTTAGCATACTCGGCTATATCCTTTTTGAGATTAGGCCAATAGTACCCCTACCATAGTATTTTGTAGGCTAAGGACTGCCTCATTGCATGGTTTCCACATATCCTGCTGTGTACTTCCGAGAGCACATTCTTTACCTCTTCTTCGCCGAGGCACCTGAGCAGGGGCGTCGAGTACCCCCTTCGATAAAGGATATCGTCGTGCATTGTGTACCTCGACGCTTGATACCTCGTCCTCTTTGCTAGTTGTCTATCTTTCGGGAGTTCATCGTCGACCATATATCTGATGATTGGATCCATCCAGCTTGGCTGGAAATTTACTAGCATGACTTCAGGCTTTCCTTCGGTGGTAGAGGCCTTTAAAACTTCCACGGGCACTAGCTTTAATAGCTCGGTGTCTTTCGACGTCGCCAACCTAGTGAGGGCGTCGGCGTTGCTATTCTCTGTTCTTGGCACTTGCTGTATGTCATAGGCCATGAATTTCTCCAAGGCCTCTTTGACCTTCTTGAGATACGCGGCCATTTTCTCATCCTGGGTCTCGTATTGGTCCTTTACTTGATTCAAAACCAGCTGCGAATCACTGAAGATGTCTATGTTCCCCACCTTTAAGTGCTCTGCCAACAGGAGTCCGGCCAGCAGCGTCTCGTATTCGGCTTCATTATTAGACGCAGGGAATTCAAACCTGATGGTCGAGGTTATCTTGTGCCCCTCTGGCGTCTGTAGCACCAATCTTGCCCCACTGCCATTTTCATTAGAGCTCCCATCGACGTAGAGCTTCCAACGGAGTGGCACGTCATCTAGCTCCACTTCTTCTGGCAACCCTGTGAATTCTGCCACAAAGTCAGCCAGGGCTTGGCCCTTGATGGCGGTCCGTGGCTTGTAGTCGATATCGAATTGGCTGAGCTCTATGGACCATTAAAGGAGTCGACCAGAAGCGTTGGGCTTTTGTAATACTTGCCTGAGATGGTGGTTTGTCAAGACCTGAATGCTATGGGCCTGGAAGTAGTGGCGCAACTTCCTCGAGGTCACACCCAGCGCGAGGGCGAGCTTTTCCATATGGGGATATCTCGTCTCCGCGTCGAGGAGGCGCTTGCTAGTGTAATACACTGGACACTGAACTAACGGCGTGTTCTGAGACCGTCAGATACAGGCTCAACATTTCCCCGGCCGCCGGCTTGGATAGCAGAGGTGGCTTCCCAAGGTGCCTTTAATTGTTGGAATGCTTGTTCATCTCCTTCGTCCACTGAAACGGCTTGCTCCCTCTCAGGGTATCAAAAAAAGGTATGCACTTGTCCGTGGATTTTAAAATAAATCTGTTGAGGGCAGCCACACAGCCTATCAGCTTCTGGACCTCCATAGGCTTCCTCGGTGACCTCATATCGAGGAGTGCCGGGTTGGCCTCAATTCCTTGACTGCTCACCATGAACCCTAAACATTTTCCAGACCCGACACCGAACGCACACTTGTGGGGGTTTAGCTTCATTCTGTACATCCTAAGGACATCGAACATTCTCTTAAGGTCCTCCACATGATTCTCAATTTTCCTGTTCTTTACCAGCATATTGTCTACATACACCTCCATTTACTTTTCCAGTTGTTCCGTGAACATCCTATTGACGAGGCGCTGGTAGGTTGCTCCCGCATTTTTGAGGCCAAAGGGCATGACTTTGTAGCAGTAGAGGCCCTTATCAGTGACAAACGCTGTATGTTCTTCATTACGGTCAAACATTGGTATCTGGTTGTACCCAGAGTATGCATCCATGAAGCTCAGGAGTTCGTGCCCCGCTGTGGCGTCAACTAGCTGATCTATCCTTGGTAGCGGGAAGCTGTCCTTGGGACAAGGTTTGTTCAGGTCGCTGAAGTCGACACATGTTCGCTAATTCCCGTTGGGCTTCCGTACCAACATAGGGTTCGATACCCATTCGGGATACAGGACTTCTTGGATGAAGCCATTCCTGATTAGTTTGTCGACCTCCTCCCGTAGGGCCTCATACCGCTCCACGTTCATAGGTCGACGCTTTTGCCTCTTGGGCGGACACTTCTCGTCGATGTTTAGCCTGTGGCATATGATATCAGGGCTTATCCTTTCCATGTCTTCGTGAGTCCGGGCAAACACGTCGAGGTTGCTTTTGAGGAACTCGATCAATCCTTCACGGGCATGCTCTCCCAGCTCTGAGCCCACCCTCAGCCTTCTTGTAGGCTCTTTCTCGTTGATGGGGACCTCGGTCAATTCCTCGACCAGTCCCGTTCCAGTTTTTCCGGCTGGGAGCCTCGGATCCAGATCGAACTCTTCTGCCCTGGTTTCCACCACCATTCTCATTTCTTTCCTCGCCTGCACTGGCTCAGCGTAGTGGCGGACTGTCTCCGAGTACGTGAGCCTCGACTCGTACTGATTTCCTCAAACTTTTCTGATCCCGTTGGGAGTTGGAAATTTTATCATCTGGTGATAGATGGACGTAACCGCCTTCAACGCCCTCAATGTCGGGTGCCCTATGACCGCGTTGTTTTGGTCACCTCCCTTCACCACCAAGAACTTTGACATTACGGTCGAGGTGTGTGGTCGGTCTCCAATGGTCATGGGCAGTTTTATTGCCCCCTCTCGGATAACACTGTCCCCAGTGAAGCCATATAGAGGTTGTGCGCTATTTTGCAACCTCGCTTGGGAAATCCCCATCTTATCGAGGCAGCCAGAGTATAGAATGTCCACCGAACTACCATTATTGACCAGGATGCGGCAAACCGTGTGGTTACTGATCATGGCCTCCACGACTAGAGTGTTACTTTGGGGGAAATGCACCCCGTTTGCATCGGCCTCTGAGAACGTGATCTCAGCCTCTTCGTATCGTGCGGCCTTGGCTTCTCTTTCGGAGACGTTCATGACCCTCGAGTTGAACTTGTCTTTTGCCTCCCTCATGTAATCCTTCTGCACACAGCGAGAGGTGCCGCCGAGGTATGGCCCTCCGAAGATCGTTCTTATAACACCGACGGGTTCGGGCGGATTGTCATGCTTTTGATCTTCCCGTCGGTCGTTATTCCGCCGATTGTTGTTGTTTCGACGGTCGGCTCGGTATTCACTGAGCCTCCCCTCTCGGATCAATCTCTCGACCTCGTCCTTCAGGTCATAGCATTCAGTTGTCGTGAGCCTACTCTCACCGTGAAACCTGTAATACTTGCTTTGGTTTTTTCGCGCTGGGTCAGACTTCAGCGGTGGTGGTCGACGCAGTACTTGAAGGTGACTGATCTCGTGATAGACGTCCTCGATCCCCATGGTTAAAAGGGTGTAGGCGTCGTATTTTTACGGCTTTGGTCGCTTGTTATCCCCCTGGCCCGCCGAGGCGTTGCCACTCCTATTGTTTAGAGCTGGATTGTACCTCTGCTCGGCTTGCACCTGATGGTTACCACAGCGCTTCTTGCCATTGTTTTGGTTGCTCGCCTGCCCTGCATCTTCTTTGGTAAGGGCTACCGCCTTGTTTTTCAAGGCCTTATTTGCTTCCTCGACATTGATGAATCCATGTGCCCTCGTCAGGAATTCCTGGTAGGTTTGGGGTGGCCTCCGGTCGAGGTCTGTACTGTAGGGGATGTCCTTCTTCATGATCGACAGTGCCCTCATCAGGGCTACCTCGTCATAGATTCCCTCAGTGGCGGCGACCTGTTCTCCAAACCGGGCTATCCAATCTTTTAGGGACTCGTTAGGTCCCTGGTGCACCTTCGAAAGGTTTTGTTTGGGCGGGATGTATTTTTTGACACCTATGAATCGAGTCAGGAAGGCGTTCTTCAAATCATCCCAGCTAGTAATAGAGTTCAGTTTCAGGGACCTAAACCATCTCCTGGCGGAGTCAGAAAGATGATTCCTGAACGCCCGACACATGACCTCCTCGGGGTACCCATGTAGGACCGTATGCCCCGTGTAGACTTCTAAGTGGTCGTCTGGATCACTTCTCCCATCGTACAACGGGATAGGGGTGGCTTATAATTGTCAGACAAGGGTACCCGGATGTTGTTTTCTGTAAACAGGTTCGTGAGACGTGTACATCTTGGCATCGACGTTTACAACCTCGGCCAACTTTCTCATGACCTGCTCAAAGTTGTTCAGCCGACTCCCTATCTGCTTTTCTAATCTGGCCATCTTCTCGGCCAGAGCCTTGTTCTCAGCTGCGAGTTCTTCCTCATTGGCTTGTCGTGCGTCTCGGTCACGCCGAGCATTCAGCTTTCCCCTAAGGTCTCCCTCGCGCACAGACGAGGATTCCACTGGGACAACGTTCCTCTTGTTAGCGCCCTGTTACGGTCGAGGAGGTGCGTCCCTGTCATTCATAGCTTGTGCCGCAGCCCTTTCCTGGGCTCTCCTTCTGGCTGCCCATTGCCTACTTCCTACGGACCTGTTCGACCTGGCTGGGCGGGGGTCGTTGGCCCCACTATCACTGACCCCTTCGGCGTCACTATGTTGGTCACCAATCACTTGGTTTCCAACGGCGACGTTCACTGGGTTCATCGGCGCATCCTCTAACGGCGGTATTGAGTTTTGCCCTTGATCCCGCCCAGCGAGGGCCGTAGCTATTCTTTCCACGGCTACAGCAAGTGTTTCAACCTGCTTTTGGAGCTGGCGAATACGGTCTGGGGGATTTCCAGCGGCCGGTAATGGTGGATTCGTTGATGTCCCTGCGACGGTGGGAGGCTGGCCCTCCTTGCCTCTCTGATTAGCCGTCAGGCTGCGAGTGTTTTTTAGAGGCATGGTTGTTGTTTTTTACTAGTTTCGATTTCTGGGTTCAGCCGGCCCTCCTTCTAGCGCAAATTGTTGACAGTGATTTTCTAACAATGCGTGATTAACTCTCCAAAGACACTCACCATAAGCACTCACGGATTAGCTAAAGATTAAAGTCGTAAAATAACGTAAAGTAGACAAGAATTTATAGTGGTTCGGCAAGAATTCTTGGTCTAGTCCACTTGTGGATGCACTAATCTTTCTGAGATTATAGGTTTTTCTTTGAGTAATGAAACAATGCGTAACCCTTCAATGGGGTTTTTGGCTCTATTTATAGGCCTTTACATGTGAGAGATCCCCTTTGCATTCCCCGAGGGAGCCATCTTCTATTCCTGGATTTTGGGATTGCGTAGGTGCATTTTCATGATGACAATCTCAAGAAATCAGGCTAACATCTCTTACCGACTACCTGATTTCCTGACTTCGACAGTAACAGTTGGCACAGTGCATCCTTCCCTGAGTTGACAAGACTGTTGATGAATTTGACTGGATCTGCTGTCTCGACGTAATGACCACCACAAGCTGAGCGAGGTGCTCGACGTCTGTTATCCTGCATGAGCTCTCGACGTCCAAAGGGCACCTTAACTACAGTAATTCTCTCGACGTCAGCAACTGATTCTCAATGAGGAAGTCTCGACGCTTGCCGTTCGAGAGAATGGTCGCCTGCTCGACCATGACGTAACAATGACCATTACATTACTTGAGTATATTATTCAACTTTATAGATGGTAAGGATGTCCTGACTTGGAGCTTTCACTTTTAACTGCCCGAAATTTGAGTTGTAGCGCACACAAAAACTCTGCCGTTTGGTATAGATTATGCTGGTGTACTATATAAGAACTTTGTACTAATTGCTGATGAAGGTATAAGTGTCAGGATCTTAACCAGCCAATTGATGGATGAATTCGACCTTTTCTTATATTGTGGGGTCGGGGAGCATGAAGATACCATTGATCATATTATATATTTATATATAAAAAATATTCTAATATATTGTTAAACCACCCTATAGAAGTGTGTTTTTTTTTTTCTCTAAAGAGAATTACTGAACTCACTCCAGAATGAGACTTGGATTTTAATCTTTATTTTTTATTATTATTTTTTAATTAATTTAGTTATTTGACTAAAGCATATTAGTTAATAATAAACGATAAAAATTTTGACTCGCGTATATTTATCTTTTTTTTCTTTTTCCTTTTTTTAATGTCCTGGAAGTGGTGTTAAAACACCCTGAATTTACTCTCAACTATAAAAGGGTTGGGCTTGGGCTCTACCCAAGACAATTCACTTAGTAATGCGTGGACATCCTAAACTACCATTGACCATGTTGGAACTGGAATTGTAGTAATTTATTTTGAATTATAAAATTTAAATTGTAGTGATTTGAATTACAATATAAACCGATATTTGCATATATAAATAAATTATAAATTGTATTTAGAGTAAAATTTAAATTGTATTTAGTTAGAATGTTAAAAATTGTCATTAAAGTTATGCAACAAATAAAATAAAACCTCTATGTAAACAACAAGTTTAAATATGTAATATGAATAGAGATTTATTTCTCTCTTCATTATGAATATATAGGAAAAAATTATAGTTGAAACGAAAAAATTATATGACATTTTTAAATTTGAAGTTAAAAGGAAGAGAAAAACAAAAAAATAACTGTGTTTGAACTATTGTCAACAATGCAGATTATAATTTTAGGGGTACAAATCTAAAATCAACCATTTAAATTGCAGTTAATGGTTTGAATGCACTCTCTTTATTTCTAAAACAAACTATAATTTGAACTTTTTATCACAATTTGAATTAAATGTTTTGGTTGAAATAGTTGAATCAAACATGGGGAAATTTTGTCCCGAATGTAGAATTCAGAGCTACAATCTCAAAAACATATAAATACATGGTATATATATGTTTTTTAATAAACTTAAAATACAATGTCCTCTTAATTGATCAAAGCTGAGTTTTTCTTCCACTGCTCAGTCAACTTAGTCAACGCAAGGCGAGAGGACCCACCACTGCCCATCGCATTCACGGCAGCGTCTCTCATCATCAAAACCCTCTCCCTCACTTCCCTCCCTCTCTCCGACTCGGAGCCCATCAACTCTCTGACTCGCTCCTCCAACTCGGCCCCACTCACCAACCCGCCATCTCCCGAATCGTTCAGCGCCAAAGCAATCCTCATCTCCTCCACAAGGAACACCCTGTTCAGTCTCTGCTCCGCGTAGAGCGGCCAAGCCACCATCGGAACCCCAGCACAGATCGATTCCAGCACCGAGCTCCACCCGCAGTGAGTTACAAACCCACCCACCGAGTCATGACTCAGTATCTTCACCTGCGGGGCCCATTTCCTCACCACCAGTCCCCTCTCCTTCGTCCTCTCCAGAAATCCCTTGGGTAGTACCTCATCCAAGCTCCTTTCTTGATCACCATCTCCGGGTGGGTCCCTCACCACCCACAAGAATCTCTGTCCACTCTTCTCCAAACCCACCGCCATTTCAAACAACTGCTTCGCCGAGAACAATCCCATGCTTCCGAAACACAAGAAAACAACGCTATTACTAGGTTGCTGGTCAAGCCAACTCAGACAGTACTCTTGTTTACCGCCATCTCCATTATCTGAACTCTTCAAAACGATTGGTCCGACGTAGAATATCGGCGGAGTTGGTTTCTCCGGCACGCAAAGCCCGTCGCGTAACGCTTTCAGAGAAGTCTCTTCCAAGGACTCAAAAGTGTTGACGATGATCCCGCTCGACTCCGCCATGTGGATCGCGGTTTCGAAGAAGTACTTGAAGATCCTAGCCGTCCGATCCTGAAGCGTCGACGGAATATCCGGCGTCGGAATGGGGGGCAAGCCCGGGGCAGACACGGGAGACTCCATGTCTTTGAAGCTCTTCCCGCTCTCGCGGTCTAGAGTGGGCAAGTAAAGGAAAAAGTTGAGACCGCTTCCACTTGTGGTGAAGAAATAGTACGTGGGAATGCTGAGACTTTTAGAGACTTCTAACGCTCCGTAGCAAAAGAAGTCGATGATAAAGGCTTTGAGTTTGGTTTTCTCGGAGAGTGCTTGTAGGGTTTTGCGGATATTAGAGCTGTGGAGACGAGGGAGCTCAAAAAGCAGCTCGAGAGGGGAAAGGTTTGGAGGGATGTCATGGTCGGGGATGGGAGGGAATGCGTGTAACGTGATGCTTTTGGTGGCGGCGGCGGCGGCGGCGAGGTATTGGTTGGAGGAGTTTGGTGGCGGTTTGAGGAGGAAGATTGTGATGGAGAAGGTGGGGTGGTGAGTGAGGATGAGGTTGGCGAGCTCTATCATCGGGACCAAGTGGCTGTGCACGCCTGGAGGTGGGAACAAAACTATAGCCTCCTCCATAATATCATAATACGATTACGTAAATTATGACTATTGAGGATCGGAACTTGCTACTGGCGACTAGGCTTTGATTTATTGAAGCAATAGTTGTGATAGAGATATCAGAAGAGCTTGAACGTATGGTGGTCCTTTTAGCCACGTCAAACAAAATGGGAAGACGATAGTTATTATGAAATTGGTGAGGTAATCAATAACAAGAGAAAGCAGGCCGCATAAAGGCAGAAGCAGCCACAACTTTGATCAACTATTGTACTGTTCACTGTTCGATTCGATGATAAGTAAACGACAAATCGTACCATGCAAATTAAATGTGCAGCCAGCTATCACTATGCATTTAATAGGTTTTTTATTTTTTAGCTAAATTCCAGCCAGCTTTAAGAAATTAGGCAAGTTGTTGCGTTTTTTTTTTTTCTCTCTGTTTTTTAATAATTTTGGTTCTCAGATTCACGAGGGATTATTAAAACTTAATACATGTCACGTTATCTACCATGTTCACGTAATAAATTGAAGAGAAATATTACAGTCACTCTTTTATTCACTTTTTTTATCACTCTCATTTTTTAATTTATCACGTGTCTCTTTTACTCTCACTTTTTAATTTATCATGTGTCATTTTAATTCCCCATAAAAGTAAAGCATTATTATAGACCATCTTTTTTTTTTCCAAAAAATAAATATTAAATAAAAAGTTTTAGGTTACACTTTTTTCTTTCCAAAAAATAAATATTACATAAAAAGTTTTAGGTTACATATTATTACTAAATAATTTTATAAGACATTCTCCAATACGCCAACATATTAATAAATTAAGTTTTTTAACTGTTAAATCTATATAAAATCATATAAAAATTTAAAAATATGTAGATTAAATGATTAAAAAAACTTAACCTACCAGTACACTGATGTACCAGATAATCTCCTTAATTCTATTCAGAGCCAAATATTACAAGTCCTCCAACAAAGTCATATCTAGCAACACTTTATATGCAGATCCTTGAAAGCATTCCTGTTGCCAACATTAACGAGGTTCTTATTTTATTTTTTTTTCTCTTTTTTTTTGCTTTTTTTTTTTTGAAAATCTTCATTTTATTTTAGAAAAAGAGGTTAGAAAATAATTTATTTATATAAATAATATACATTTAGCTAGAAATCGGAATAACTGATTAAATGAGAAAATATATATGTCCAATATCTGTTCTATTGGAACAAAGGAATAAAGAGGGCAAAAAAGACAAAAAGAAAAAAAGGCTAAAGAAAATACATATAAAGATGTTAAGAAACAAACAAAGAATAGAAAAAAAAAAAAAAAAAAAAACAATTTTTCTATAATCCATTAAAAAAAATGCAATATTAAAGAGTGGGAGAGTCGTAAATGTAAAAATAACGGTCTCTAACAATGCTTTATTTTTATGGGAAAGTGAGATGACACGTGATAAATTAAAAAGTAAGAGAGTGATAAAAAGAATGATTAAAAGAGTAATTTTAACATTTTTCGTCTGAAACTGTAAGAGAAAAAAAATTCAAATTAAATACAAAATGTTCTACTGCTTTAAATTACGCTTGAAAAGAAAAATATTTTAAATTTGAAGTCAATTTTCGGGATAGAGACCAGAAATACTAAAGAAAGTAAATTTAGACACTAATATATATGTATGCTTAAAACAGGTTTAGGACTGTTTTGTTATTATATTGTTATTACCAAAATCCAATCAATGCACAGTATTCATGGGAGGCCAGCACCTACAAATTGGTTGCTTGTATACATACGTAAAAGCTAAGCTATAAAGGAAATTTTTAATCTTAATTAGTTTCTATATTTATAGTTACCTAAGAAAAATGGAATTGCAGGTAACATATAAAGGAAATTTTGTCAAGTTTGGCGTTCAGTTATTGTGAGTAGCAAAAAAAAAAAAAAAAAATAGTAGTCGGCACTCTCAACTTATGTGTTGGTGCTGCCGGCCTCCTCGATTACCACTCTGCATCCATTTACTGAATTTTAATACTGTTTGTTCTTCGAAAATTCGGATTTGAAACGATTTATATCGTTTTTTTAATATTTCTTTTAAGTAAATTTGTTATTTATTTTTAGTGATTTTCATCCTTAATTTTCAGATCGACAACGAATATTTAGAATTTAATTTAAATTATCATATATCTATCGTGCTATATAATTTCTTTTAATAAAATAAAGTCACATCAAAATTCAAAATGTTCTTAACTAGTCTTATTATTTCAGAAATTTCTTTAAAATTATAATATTTTTTATATGTAACTGGATTTGTAACGAACACGTGACTATCTTACAAGTTGGTTTTAAAATTTTATTAATGTCAATTTTAAGAATAGGGACTATATAAAAATATAAATAAATAAATTATTTAGCGATTAATAGATCTATCTATGAAAAGTTCTAGAACTACTTGATCACGGCATCAATGATTCAGACTTTATTAGCTCCAAGAATTTCTAGAAATGCATAGGACTGTTGATGGAGGCGGGCAAATACAAATTGGTTACCTAAATTATAAAATATACTTATACATACATAGTAAGAGTAGGCACCGTTGTTTGACTTGACACCTAGGCATATTTAAATGGAATTTTATTTTGGTAAAATTACCTCTATTTTGAAAACACCTAGCCAGTTTTTGTTTGAACTATACAAGTACTTTTGCATTTTTTATACTCAAACTTCTTTTAAAAAAAAAGTTTTAAAACATAAAAGGTTATGTTTGTTTTACAACTCAAGTTTTCAACTTAAGTTATACATGTGAAAAAAAAATATTATAATAAAAAAACTATTCATACAATTCGTCTTATTCGATTAAAAAAACTATTCATACAATTCGTCATATAATAATAGATCTATATTATTAGAAAACAACACGTTTATATTAAAAAAACTACAAAATCATTCCGCTATTTTAAAAAAAATATACAAATACAATTCATACAATTCGTCTTATTCGATTATAGAGGTTAGTCTTTAACTTTTTTCCTTAGAAAAAGAAAAAAAAAAGAAAAAGAAAAAAAGAGAAAATAAAGAAGAAAAAGAAAACGAAAAGAAAGAAAAAGAAAAAGAAAAGAAAGAAAAAGAAAAAGAAAAGAAAAGAAAATATAAATATAAATGTGTACGTCATTTTAAATAATTAAGTGTCATATCTTTCATTTTTTTTATTAATTAAATAATAATTATTTATTTTTAAATTGAGTGGCGTAAATAAAAATAATAATTGACACAAATAGTTCATAAATTATTTAGTGGGTGAATGGGGAATTTTTGAGAGTTTGAATTCTGATACGATAAAAGAAAAAAAAAAAAATTTGTTGCGTCGCTAGCAGTTTGATCTTCTTATTTTTAAGACCCCATTTACTCACAATGTCATTTTGGTCATGTCAGATGAAGGATTACAATCGTTTTCCATTAGAAATTTGGCGTTTAGGAACAGAAAGGTATTAATTCCTTAGGTCAAGTAATTTAAGAAAAAGTTGGTGTAATAAAATAAATGATAACTCTTATTGCATAATTATACTTCTGTGTGACTAAATAACAAAGAGTTAATGGCGTAATTGTGTATTAAAAATAATTCGACACTCATACATGTTTTTTTTTAAATCTTAGAAGTTTTTTTGTTAGTTTTTGTATTTGACATGACATTTTCCATTAAAAATTTAGTTGATAGAAAAAATTTATAAGAGTTGTTGAAGTTTAAAGAAAAAATCTAAATTAAATTTTGAGGGATATTTTATTATAAGATCTATAGTTTGAGACGAAAATATTAATTTATATTTAAAAAAATGTGGACCAAATTATCATCTATTAAATAATATTGTAGGAACTCTTTGTCGTTTTATCTTTTGAATTAATGCTCACTTTGCCGAGGTGGGCCTTCTTACAGAAAGGGACGCTTATAATTAATCTATAATTAATTCAGAGACGCCATTCTCCTCTATAAAGAGTTTTTTTTTTTTTTTTTTTTTTTTTTTTTTTTTTTTTTTGTTAGTTTTTATATTGCACGTGACATTTTTTTATTAAAAATTTTGTTAATGAGAAAAATTTATAAGAGTTGTTGAAGTTTGAGAAAAAACTTTAAAATTAAGGGGTTGTTGTTTTGAAGTGTAATTTGAGTGTAATTTTTGAGTTAAAATTGAGTTATAATTTGAGTTGAAGTTATAATTTGAATAAAATTGAGTAAAATTGAATAAAATTAAAACTTAAAAGAACGTGAACTTAAATAAAATTGTAACTCAAATTTAAATTTTTTCTGAATTTTATTACAAAAGAATAATCCTTAAAATTTGAGAGATATTTTATTATAAAATCTTTAATTTTAGACGAAAATATGTAATTTGTATTTAAAAAAATATGGATCAAATTATCATCTATTAACTATTTGTCGTTTTATCTTTTGAATTAATGCTCACTTTGCCGAGGTGGGACTTCTTACAGAAAGGGACGGCTATAATAGGGCTATAAGTAATTTGGAGACGCCATTCTCCTCCACAAAAGTTTTTTGTCTTTTTCCTGACGTGAAAAGGACACAAGCCCTTCATATCAAACAGTTTTAAAAAGAACTTATATGTCAGAAAAAAAAGTTTTAAAAAGAACTAAAAAGAAGCATGGATGTATTACCATAATGAGAATTATCTCATCTTTACCCCTTTTTGCCGCAATTCTAAAGTTCTAGTCATTTTATTGAGTTGAATTTAAAATTTAAATTTTATTATAATAAAAAATTTAAAAAATAAATATATTTAACATTTTTTATTATAATAAAATATTAACATAAAATTATATTTTAATTTAAATTAAAAATTTAAATTAATAAATTAAACGAACCTTAAAATCACATCTATAGTTGGCATATGTGTAATTACACGTGTAATTACAGATATATTAATTAGATGTATATGTGTTTATGGTATTACTACTATGATTGATGCTAAACTGCAAGTTAATTAATACCAGTTGGTACCAGTTGGTACTATATAGGATTGCCAACAAGGCACGTCTGCTCTCCAAAAGGAACTATTAACAGACAAGTTCAAGTTGCGTGAATTACTGGAATTTGTGTCTATGAATGTCCCGTTTACTTTTACTAATTTAAATTTAAAATTTTAATTTTATTATAATAAAAATTTTTAAAAAATAATCACATTTAATTTTTTAATTATAATAAAAAAATTCTCACATAAAATTACATCTCAATTTAAATTAAAAATTTAAATCAACGAATTAAACATACTCTAAAATTTAGATCTTTGTAGTTTTATTTCTTGTTAATTTAATAAAGTGACCCATATCATATTAAAAAGAAAAGAAAAGAAAAAAGAAAAAATAGCAAAGACTAGACAACCAAGTAAAATATGTGACTGATCTTTTATTCGCGATCAATTAATCCCAGGAGTACTGTAATTTGCATCAACGAGAGTCTTCCATTCAATCTTTACTTGTTTAATTTGTGATCTCTTTCGGGCTCATTAGAATGAACCATTTCTTCCCCACATCCGGCATCTCTTTATGTGAAATTTAATGTGAAATTTAATTATATCTACCGATTAATTAAGAGGACGTTTAATTTATGTATTTAAAATTATTTTTATTTTACGTGTATTTTTTATAAAAAAAATATTGTCAAAAATTATAAATTATAATTTAAAATTAAAGATGAATATGAAAAATAAGTCCTGAATACCAAAAAAAAACGCAAAACATAAAGATAATTGACGCGTAATTTTCTAGCACACGCCACAAACAAATTCTCATTTTTACTTTCTTTTTTTTAAAAAAAAGAAGCATTCAGACAACTTTTTCAAAAAAGAAGCATTCATAGTTGTAAATTTAAAAACTTTAAAAGCAGTAATAAAAAAAGGAGGGAAAAACAAATGCTTTCACGTCTCTAGAATGCGGACCATTTTATGTGTACTAGCAGTAGCTCGGGGATTAAATTGTTGTGTTCGTTTGATCCAACAACTCAGCCACGCTTCCACGACTCAGTGAGTTTGGCTAACGCAGCTCGGGACGATCCACCGTCGCTCAGAGCAGCTCTGGCTTCGTCCTTCATCACTAACGCACGCTTCCGTAACGAGCCGCCGTTTTCTGAGCTTGTCATCAACTCAGTGACCCGCTTCTCAACTTCGCTGGCGCTCACAAACCCGCCGTCGGACTCTTTCATGGGCAGAGCAATCTTGATTTCCTCAACAAGCACGACTCTGTTCAACCTCTGCTCCGCATAGAGCGGCCACGCCACCATCGGCACACCGGCACATATCGCTTCCAACACCGAATTCCAACCGCAATGGGTCACAAACCCGCCCACCGAGTCATGACGTAGAACCTCCACTTGTGGGGCCCAGTTCTTCACCACCAGTCCTCTGTCTTTCGTCCGATCCAAGAATCCCTGTGGGAGCAACGAATCCAAGTTCCATTCCGGTGAAGCCGACGATGGATTTCGCACCACCCAAAAGAACCTCTGGCCGCTCCTCTCCAAGCCCACCGCTATTTCATGCAGTTGCTCTTCCGAGAAAACGCCTAAGCTTCCAAAACAGAGAAAAACCACGCTTTGTCTTGGTTGCGAGTCCAACCATTCTAAGCACTCAAGTTGTGATCCTTTTTTCCCCTTGGCTGTAATTAACGGTCCAATGCAGTACACCGGAGGCGTGGGAGCATGCGGCACGCATAATCCATCCGATATGGCTTTGATGGCTCGAGGCTCCAAAGACTCAAAAGTGTTTATGACGAGTCCATCTGATTTCGGATAGTAGGTTGTCGACTCGAGAAAGAATTCATAGGCCATATCGCTACGGTCCAGAATTGGTTTTGCCATATCCAACGCGGGAATCGGCGGCAATCCAGGGATGTCTAGAAGAGTGTTTTTAAGGTCTTTGAAGCTCTGTGGGATGGTTTCGTGAAGGGTCGGCAAGTAAAGGAAAGAAGCCAAGAAAGACGCGGGGGAAGTGACGAAGACGTAAGTGGGGATCTTGTTCAGCTGATGATCGGAAGAGAAGACTTCGATGATGCTAGCGCAGAAGAAGTCCATGATGAAAGCGTGAACGGTGTGGCTTTGAGAGATGGAACGTAGGGCTTCAGCCACGATGGGCTTGTTGCGAAGGAGGACTTCGAACATTAGTGTTTCGGGGTGGGCCGTGGTGTTCAAAAGCTCGGGAGGGAGGGAAATGCGCGGGAGGTGGTGGAAGGTGATGGAAGGAGTCGTGGCGGAGACGGCGGCGATGTAGGGAGCGGTGTCACCGGCGTCGTAAGGCGCGGTGGTGACGAGGATGTGGATGGAGAGTGAAGGCTTGGAAGTTAAAATGAGCTTTCCTAGCTCAACGAGAGATACAAGATGGCCTATTGCTGGTGATGGGTATAGAACTATTACCTCCATCTTTGAGTTTGTGTGGAAGAATTCAAGTGTACATTTCACCATGGTTTCCTTATCTCCATCTCTCTTTATAGCAAAATGACATACACCCTGGAAAGTGAAATTACAAAAATACCCATTAAATGTTAGCTTAAAGGTTGTTCTTTTATAACGAAATTCAGAAAAAATTTAAATTTGAGTTACAACTTTATTTAAATTCATATTTTTTTTATAAAATTTGAGTTTAAACTCGAGTTTGTAGTTAAATTTGAGTTTAAATTTCTTCTTTAACTCAAGTTTATAAACTCGAACTCAAGTTAATAAACAATATTTTTTCTATTCTTAAAAATACAATAATTTTTTCGTTTTAATTATGATTGAGATGATTTTTTTTCTATGCATTCACAACGAAAAGACGAATAAAATCTCACCCATGTATCTTATTAAAATTTTTTATTACTATCGAGTTTTTATTAAAATACTATTTAAATACAAATTTAAGTTTTAATCCACTTAAACACAAACTCAAAAAGATTATTGATTCAAATCATAATTCAAATGTGCATATCTAAATACAAATTAAAGTTACAATTTTAACTTAAATTAACTCAAATTCAACTGATTATCCTAACTTAAAAATGTACAAGAAGAATCCCTTAATAAAGCATACGTCATTCTTGCGTATAGCATTACATATCAACCTTCCAAATACAAAAACAACGTTGCAAATGTGTTGACGATGTTTCCGGTTAATTCCACCGGTTCAGTTGGTTAGTTTAGAACGCATGTCTTCTTCATTTCACCGATTTAAATTTTTAGTTTTAAGTTTTTATAATAAAAAATTTTAAAAAAATGTCACATTAAATTTTTTTATTACAGTAAAAAATTCTTAAAAAATATCATATCTCAATTTAAATTAAAAATTTAAATTTACAAAGTGAATGAGTAAGCAGTGATCCGATCCTAATGTTGGGATATTTGGTCGGTTTTTGGTGGTTCAGAATTGATGATCACAAGTCATGGAAAAGGTGTGGTAGTGGTGAGTAAGTTGGATATTTGGCAAGCACTATATACAGTGGGGACCGCCGGTTGGCCCGCACGTACGGCTGAAGATGGAAACGGAACGAAAGTCCTTTCGTCGGTGACAGTAATCGTGACTCACGAGTATGAAAGTTTGCCACACCAATCGACATAAATGTGAAATCATTGGTCCGACTTGAATTATTGAAGCGCTTTCGTTTTCGCCGTATTCTTTTAAGACATTACTGTCAGAATAGTTCTTCTTTTTGTGTCCACGTTTTTTATAAAAGAAAAAAGGAAAGCGACTCTATTAGTACAATTAAAAATTAAAAATAAAAATAAAATAGTTTTTTAATTTAAAATAAAATAAAAAAAAATAAAAAACGATTTTTATTTTTTTATTTTTATTTTCTCATTTTTTTAAATAAAGAAAAATATTAATAAATTTTTTTATATTAAAAATAATATCTTCTTATAATTATTAAATACATTTTAAAAAATAATATTTATTTAAAACATATTTTTATTTTTATATATATAAAAAAAATT